AAAAAGCTTATATTGATCTCCGGCTTTGGCGTTACTGATTCAGAGTTTTGGAGCTTCAATGGTTTTATGTTGCTGGTGTCACTTTTCGAACAAAGCCCACCTTCAGCATAGGGAAAACGATAGGTATGTCTACTTTGCTATCATCGATGATTATACAACGATGAAACATACATGCATACACGCGCACGCACGCTTCAGGGAAAGAACTGATTCGTACACGAAATTCAGTACAAGTTGAGTGAAATTGAGAATAGTACCACTGACTCGTGACAATATCCAACTGTTGAATACGATCCTATTACATAATTATAAAAATAAGCATCTAATTTAAGCATCGAATTATATATTTTAGATAAAAATATTTAAATTAATTAATCCTAGATAAGATAAATATTGGAAGTCTTGGTCCAAATAAATCTTGAAACTTCTTTTTTTACGAGAGCTTATAAATAAAGCCGAGACATATTAATTAAAATAAAGTTTTCAGATTTATTTGGTCCAAGACTGCCAATATACATTCTATCTAGGATTAATTAACTTCTTTTGTATATGATCGAGGAAATTTAAAGAAGATGGTATTTCAAATAACTACAATTAATATCATAAAATATATCTTTAAATGAAATAATTCACTGATATCTGAAGGTAGCGTTTTCTTTGCACTGCCTGTTGGACGATCCAGTGGAACCTCAACTTCGACATTTGGTTGTGATTTTTCCTGAAGTGAAGAAGATTTATGTACCACAGTTTTTAAGGACGTCGAAAGTTTCCTCCGTTTTGTTTCGCAGGATACCGGTTTATCGGTACTGCTGAAGGACTGTAAAAGTGGCAAGAACTTGAGCATCCAAGTTATTGCTAGATGCGGATGTATAAATACATTACTACCCGAACTAAAGTTCGGGAGCATCGGATAGTAAATCAATGTCTGGAAAGACATCAAATGTAACTCCCTCTTTGACGCATTGTTCTTCGTCTGAACTTTCTGCAGCAACAACATGTCTGGTGTGGCGTGATCTTTTCAGATTTTCTTCTGCGTCTGTGTCGTCCACATCAGATGCGATTTCGGCCAATTTTAATTTGTCCATCCCTTTTTCAAAAGTATCTGAAACAATGTTATTCCATTTTATTGCACTCCATACAATTATTGCTTAATTTTTTCTGTATAATATTTAATTTGCAATACGTAAAAGCAGTATATATGAAATGTACTCTGATGTTGTTCGACTAATATATCGCAAGTTGCAGTTATATACGTACAAAAGGAATGTCTTTACCATTTATGATTTAAATAGAAAGGAAATTTTAAAAGTTATCTCAAACATAAAAGCGTTAATGATATACCACAAACACATTACTTGCGCCTTAACTATTGTGTACGCTTGCGATTTACGACAGTTGTTAATATATATATATATATATATATTTGACACACAATATCTTTTTAATTTAATAAAGATAATAATAAAAGTATCACATATTCATTTTTATAGAAGATCTTTTCCAAGAGGAAGAGGAGACATTGGAGACCGATGTGCCGCCGCTGGAACGTGTGGTGCAACTGTTGCAGCAGCAACAAACTAATCATTCAAAAGAGTTGCTACAGTTGCACAAAGCTATGCATTTGCAACAGCAACAATTGCAAAAATTGCAACAGCAACTGTTGCAAGCGCATACGCGGAACCAACCTCGAGACCTGCCGCGGAACGAACCGCGAAATGAGCAGCAGGGAGAACCGCAGAATCAGCCGGAGCAGCCGTTCGAACAACAGCAACAACAACATACTACATACAGTATGTATATAATTTTACTTCATATTTACTATATTTTACAAATATTTTATAATATTTTCTAATACTGTTCATATTCTTTTTATTTCAGAAGTTCGACGTGGTCGAGGACGCGGAAAGTCAAGAGCACGATGGTATGCTCAACGAGGCCGCGGAATGAGTGGAAATAGATTATATCCCATAATAAATCAGTTTTATGTATAATCTCATCACACACACATTTCTGGAGTTGTAATAAATAAAGTGCTGAATAATAAACTATATATACCGTACTCTTTAACTGTATCTAAAAAAAATGAATTAACAAGTGAATTTCACTTTATTATATATCCTAATCCATTTTTTTTCTTTCAGGATTGATTTCACTATATAGATAAGTGACGTTTTCCCTTTATCTATTTCATTCATTATTTTGTGGAAAATATCTTTGTCCAATTACTATCGAGTAAAAAAGTATCGCGCGTTAAAGAGAAGACAAAGCGTGACTGAAAGTAGAAGCACATGTGAAGATTATCATGCAGCAACAAATATTTATAATAATATTTATAATGAAATAAATACAAACAATACAGCTAATAACAGTAGTAAAAAAATAATAATTAGTAATGAAGAAATAATAAGTAATAAAGAAATAATTAATAATAAAGAAGACAGGTTTGGGTAAGTTAATATTTTTTTCAACTAAATTAAATCAAAATTAATAGCTTATAAAAAATTAAATAATTAAATTAAAATAACTAATAATAATTAAAATAACTAGTTAAAGTTAAAAATTAACTAAGTTAAATTAAAAGTTATTAACTTTATAACAGTTTTATTTAACTTTTAACTAATTAACTAGATATTATCCAACCCTGGAAAAAGAGATAAGCGAGAATCTGATGTCAAAAGACAACGATTGTGAATTAGCATCATTTGAAGATATACTGAATCATAAAAGAGGAATCAACAAAAAAATTCTACAATGGGCATTAAAAAATTTAGATACCTTAAGATAAACGTAATAACAGAATTATTATTGTTATTAAGAGAAGAGGGACACACATCATTACCTAAAACAGCTCAGAGTTTGTTAGGCACGAAGCATCACAGAATTGTGCAAGTAATGAACAGTAATCGGGCAACTGAAGGTGCATATACGTATTTAGGAATAAAAAAAGGATTGGAGAAAGTAATCTCATCAAATATATATTGCGAAAATTATATTTCCGTATTCACTCATATTGATGGAATGCAAATATATAATAATTCATTAATGCAAGTGTGGCCAATAGTTGTAAAAATTAATCATTTAAATTACATTTGTAAGCCTTTTATCGCCGGGATTTATTGCGGAGACTCCAAACCTCAAAACATTAACGATTATCTTTACGACTTTATAGAAGAAGCAAAAAACTTGATAAGTAATGGAGTATAATGGAGTAGAGTTATACAGAAAAAAATACTTATTTAAAATTGATGCTATTATTGCAGATGCTCCTGCGAGAGCATTTATAAAATCTTGTAAACCATCTAATTCATTTTATGCCTGTGAATGATGTGTAACAAAAGGTATATCTGTAGGAAAAAAGCATTGCATTAAAAGAATCTTCTGAAATAAACTGTAAAAAACGAACTAAAGAATCTTTTAAAAAAGCATTGCATTAAAAGAATC